ATATATATATATATATATATATTGATGAATAATATACTAACAACTGTTAATGTATTTATTAAACTTTGTTTATTTTTAGATCTTAGATAAAAAAGGAAGATGTAATAAAGAGGGCACAGTTCAATCCTGTAACCTAAAATACTGCCTTCACACGTGCTATAAATGGCCCTTGGAAACAGTAATCATTACATCCTCCACGTGAAAAACATGTGTACTCCATATGCGTTTATCATTGTTAACTGGAGAAAATAGAAGAATTTCCCATCAAATGGGGTCACTGATTAGTAAAGATCGACAAGAGAGAAGGACGCAGATAACAAAAGCTTAATGGATCGACCTCGAGTTTCCGGAAACAAAACAAGTATCTTAGATATACCAGATATAATTAGATAATGCTAAAAAAATAACTAATTGTTGAAAATGTGAATAAATAAAAGTATTTAATTTTTTTTTCAAAAAATCGCTAACGTTTCTCAACTCTTAATAGTATTGGATTCCTGAAGTTTCTTGTTATATTATATAAGAAGTATAGTACCAAAACGTATGATAATTAAACGTTAATGTCACACACAAAAAAACATTAATTAAAACATGTATATTACTTCCCTTTCTATTATTTCTAAACGATCATCTGTTACTTGTTGTTGTTGTTTATTATTAAGCACAAAGCTACACAAAATGCTATCTGTTTCTGCCCACCACGGGTATCGAAACCCGGTTTCTAGCGGTATAAGTCCGCAGACATACCGCTGTGCCACTGGGGGGGGCAACATAATGTTTGGGGAAAACAAGGGACCTACTGGTTTATCTCGGCTGCCTAATCCTTTAAACTAAACTAAAAACTATGAGATAAGTAAATTAAAAAAATGAAATAAATATAATAAAAATCATAAAGCCAACCATTATCATTCATATAGTTATCAAGCTTACTCTTAAACTCACGTTTACTGCCTCCACAACATCCGAAGGCAACCCATTCCAGAGGCCAACCACCCTGTTAAAAAAATAAAAATATCTTACCAAAATTTATATTTGTGTCCCCTAGTCCTACTATTATCACCGTTAAGTATGAAAAAAAATGATGCATCAACACTATCAATTCGCTTTACAATCTTAAATACCTCAATTAGATACTCTAACTTCTTTTTTCAAGAGGAAACAATTTCAGAGATCTTAATCTCTCCTCATATGATAACCCCTCCATTCCAGGCACCATTCTAGTAACCCTCCTCTAAACCCTTTCCAACAATTCAATGTCCTTCCTAAGATAAGGAACCCAAGACTTAACTCAATATTGTTGTAGAAGCATTAAATTTAAGTGAGTTTAAGAAAACGATTGATAACTAAATGAATGGTAAGGGCTGGTTTAAGATTTTTTTAAATTATTTTAATTTAATTTAGAGGATAGAACAGCCGAGATGGACCAATAGGTCCCATGCTGTTCCAAAACGTTATGTTATGTTATTATAATTAAAACCCATCTGCCCAACTCACTAAATAATCTAAATCCTTTTGTAAAGCAGCAGCATCCTCTTCACAGTTATCAACACCCAGTACCTTAATATCAGCACCAAAGTTAAGTAATTTATTAACCATTCCTTCATTTTGGTCACTGATGTAAATAAAAAAGAGCAATAGTCCTAAGACTAAGATCTGAAGTACCCCACTTGTGACATTAATACAGTTTGACTGAACTCCATTTATAACACCACTCTCTAGCCACTCTTCTATCCAATTGGCTAATTTATCTCTCACACCTAAAGAGATCAAGCCTTTTATGTGGCACTTTGTCAAATGTTTTCTGAAAATATAGATACCCCAATTCTAAAACCTTATCCTCATCTACGTAAACAGTAACCATTTCAAGGAATGTCTAAAGATTTGAAACACAAAATTTTCCCTTAGTGAAACCTTGTTGACTATCCCTTCAAATTCTAAACTTTGTTAAATGACTTTGCAAAGCATCTTTTATCAGACTTTCCAAACCTTTTCTCACAAGTGATGTAAGACTAATAGGCCTATAATTACTGGGACAATTTTTATTACCTCCCTTGAAAAGAGGAGTGATATTAGCTAACTTACAATATTTCGGTACCTGCTCATATTTAAGGACTTACAAAAAATAGTAGCAAGTGGCTCACATATCTAATCCTTAACCTCCTTCAAAACCCTTGGGGAAATATTATCTGGTCCAGGAGCCTTATTGTTTTTTAAACTTCCCAGTCTTTTCTTAACAAGCTCAGAATTAATGCAATGATATTGTCCGACCTTGTTCCATCTATCAACTGTTGAAGATGAAGAATACTGCTTGAATCTTCATTGGTAAAAACTAAAAAAAGAGGAGAATTTAATAACCCAGCCATCTCATAATCATCAGATACTAGCCTTCCTTTATCATCCCTCAAGGACCCTACTTCAATCCTGGCATTTTGTTTACCATTAATGTATCTAAAAAAATCCTTACTTTTAATTTTTACATTTCAGCCCACCTTTCTTCATACACCCTTTTTGATGTCCTAATTTCCTATTTGACCAACTTTCTTGATCTTCTATAATCTTCTAAATCTCCTGTCATACCAGTCAATTTAAGTTTCTTAAATTTGTGATGTTTTTCTTTAATTTTATCTCTTTTACCATTTGTGTGCCAACCGGGTTTTATAATTGCAACCACCCTTTTCTATAAGGAATATGTTTACCTTGAATATTTAAAAATTTATCCTTCAAAATTTTCCATATTTGTTCAGTGTCTTCAAATAACTCAGCTACCCAATTCACAACAGATAATTCTTGTCCCATCCCTTCAAAATTTGTAACAAAAATATAATTATTTCTGATCTCCATACGCAGCAAAACTTCAAACCTAATACAACAACGATCACTTGCACCCAAATGTTCCCCAATTTCAACTCTCTCAACGATTTCTATACTTGAAGTTAATAATATATCTAAAATAGCATTGTTTCTAGTAGGTTCCTTGACTAATTGGGGAAGAAAGCCATCTTGAACAGTTTCCAAAAAAAACATTTCTCCCTGACGATTTGACTTTGGCATTTCTCAATCTATATGCGTGAAATTAAAATCACCCATAATTACGACTTCATTAACAGCTAAAATCTTAATCTCACTGTAAAGATTTTCATTAATTTGAACAGTATCATCTGGTGGTCTGTAACAAATTCCCACTAAAAGCCTTTTCCCTTTATATCCACTAATATAAACCCAAATGGATTCAATCTCCTTGCTATTATTGTTGATATCCTTCAACAGAACGTAACTCACATTTTACATATAAAGCCACACATCCCCTTTAGTAGTCTATCCCTATTAAATAACCTATAACCCTGTATTTCAAAGAAATTTCTGTCATCAAAATCATCTACATTTAACCATGTTTCAGTTATTCCTAATATATCAAAATCCTCCATTCCTACCAGTGCCCTAAAGTCATCTACTTTATTCCTTATACTTCTAACAGTTAAGCCTACCCTTAGATAATACTTCTATACTTATTTCCTATGCTAAATTTTTCTCTACATCTTATTTTTTGCATTTAGTTTATCCTGACCCTCACTACTGCTTAGTTCTAGTCTAAATCTTCCCTTACGGCGGAGTTAATAGGCCTTGCAAACAAGCCAGATCCTATCCTACTTATATCCAAACCATCCATTCCAAAAAGCTCCTTTCTCCCATTGAAGTGATCCCATGGCACAAGTCCAACCAGCCTATCTGCTCATCCTTGCATACTAACTTAAACCTAGCATTTAACCCTAGTAACCTACTAATAATTTCATCCCACAATTAATTTTCGGCAGTATCCCTGACACAATCAAGCTAGGATCTTTTTCTTTAAATGTCTTTATCAACCCCTTGTACATATCAATTAACTTCTTTAACCTACATCTCCCAACATCATTAGCCCCTACGTGCACAACAAAAACTGCATCATTGCTAGCCCTCTTTATTATATCTCTTGCTCTGTCAGTTATATCTTCTACTTGTGCCCCTGGGTAGCATAATCTAATTCTTAAAATGAAAAAAATATTTATTTATTTGAGCATAAAACATTGAAAAAACGATTATTACTCGTTTAAATATACATTATCTGTTTAAAAATATGAACATTAAAAGTATGAACGAAAAAGTGTCGAAAAAGGAAACAACAAAGTTTGAGAAATACCTTAATTGTAGATGACTAATAAAAAAACATGCTATTTAATCACTAAGAATATGTTACTATAAACACTGTAATAACACTCTGACCATACCATAAATGTAAAATGTTATATTTAATCGCTACAAAATTGTTACTAAACATTGTCTTGTCGATTAGAAACTCAACTTCCCGCTCTTATTCCCTCAAATATGAGTATCAAGCTCCACCCAGCCCTGAAAGAGCTGGACTGATCATTAAACTCTTCAGGGCAAGCAGAATACTGTGTTCCCCAAGATGGTGGAAAAGCCCCACTTGGCCTACATTAGTTTTCTAGAGCTTTTGCTACAGGGTCTACTGCTTGCTTGTTAGATTTCCTAGACCTACTGAGCTATTGGACAATAGTGATAACCTTTCTTATTTTGCTACTCAGAAAAGTAGGGGTGCTATTGGTTGCCTACCATCAGCTGAGCCATTGGCTAAAAATTATAGTCCTCCCGTCTTTGCTGCTTGGCAAAGTATGGAAATCTCATCCACCAGTATCCCACTAATCCATATGCAAAGCAGACACATCACATCCCCTGACTTGATGACGTCCAGGTGGTGCTATCATTGGCATTAGTTACAGCATTTACTTAGATAGACCTGGATATTACTTTTCCTAGAAACCATTGTGTTTGCCTTACAGTGCCAGGATGTCTGGGCAGCTGGTTAACCTTTGGTATAGCTCTACTTCTAAAAAGAGTGAAGGTACCTGGGTAAGTTGTTCCTTTGTTAACATTAGAATACTACTTTTATGACTATTTTACAATAGAGTAACATTTTACGATTGGAAATTCTGGTTCTATTTGTTTGGCCACTGATGAAGTCAGTAATTTTGAGATATTATTCTCCATATAAAGTCGAGAAAGCTTAGTCTACTATGTGATCATTAGTCGGATCAAGCGACATATCCACTTCCATCCCTGTCTTGTTTGGTTCATTTTTTCAAAGTTCAATAGTCAGCACTACATAGCTATCGTATTTAATGGCCTACCAATGGTACAGCGGTATGTCTGCGGACTTATACCGCTATAAACCGAGTTTCGATACCCGTGGAGGGCAGAGCACAGATATCCCTTTGTGTAGCTTTGTGCTTAATACCAAACA